CGCAGAAACGGCTGGCCTGAGTGACTCCCGTGACCAGCTCAGACCGTCGTGACACCGTATCGACGGTCTGAACTGGTCTCGCTGCGCGCGTCGACGTAAAGCCACCCAAGATGATGCGCAACATGTGGGTTTGTTGGCGTAGTAGGTGTGTGCGTAGTTGCTGTCGGTATGATCATTGCTGCTGGTGTGTGATCACCATGTAGGCAGCTAGGAGTAAAAATGATTGATTCTCCATCCCTTGTATTTATTCACACCCTGTCCTAGTGACATATGCACATATTACATCAGTGGTTCGATACAGGTGTCATGGTGTCAATTGGACATCACTAGGGATTGTCAAGATGTTTTTTGTCAAAAGTGAGATGAGCCTTTATGTTCTTTTTTGTCAGCAGTGGTTTTCGCCTTGGAACTTTGCCATGGATGTCATTTTTGCCCAGTCTCTGTCTTATGGTTGAGTCGTGAACACTGACCTTAACTGATGCAATTACTTTTTCACATAGGGTCATGTAGGTTCAGATAGCTTTTTTTCTGCTTAATAAATAAAATCATCACTTAAAAACTGCATTTTGTGTTCACTTAGGTTATCTTTGTCTAATTTTTAAATTTGTTTGATGATCTGAAACATTTAAGTGTGAAAAATATGCAAACAAATAAAAAACCAGAAAGGGGGAAAATACTTTTTCACAGCACTGTATATGGATGAAAGAGTTCTATAGATCTTGATGTGAATTCTTTCATGTTTCACTCTGAAAAATGTCACATCCCACCCCCACCCCCACACAAAACCAGCCTTCATTCTTCCATGCACTGACACACTGTATGTGCCTACAAACACACTGATATGCACACTTGTTGTAATGTATATCTTGCGCATACATGTCCATGCAACCGAAACACATAACTAATACAGTAGAACTTATGCACAAATATATACTGTATATGCACATCTGCACATGCACACACACTCATACATAAAGAAATGTGCACACAGAGCCATGCTCACTCACATAGACAGATCACAGACAAGACACAAACTATTCTCCGTCCATCTGTGTGTGTCCTCCATCCATCACATTAACTTGAAATTGTGAAAAGAGGGTGTGTGTTGCTGCATGTGTTTCCAGAGTTCTTAACTTCATTCAATTCTCACTTGCTACTCTGTCCATCAATATAGAGTGTATATGTAAAATATTCAATCAACATCTGTATTTTCTTTATAATATCAATTTCTGAGAACTAAAGCATGAAAAGACGCTTACAGCCCATGCTAAGTATCTGGAGACTTCTACATATTTTATTCTTTAAGCCAGGGGTCGGCAAGTTGGCATGGCCTCGGGGCATTTTTTCCTACGTCATCAGATGGCGGGCCATCAATATATTATATCAATATATTTTGCAATTTAAGGGTAATATATATAAATTAATTGTCATAAAATAACATAAAAAGGATTGTTCGTGTGACTCGGACTCATGCTATATAAATATAACGTTTCAAAATTCATCTGGCGGCCAAAAATATTTCAGGGTGGGCCAGAATTGGCCCGCAGGCTGGACGTTGCCGACCTCTGCTGTAGGGTCTTCTCATGTCTGGAGGTCAGCTTTGTTATATGACTATGCCACTGCAGCTGCCTCTCCTGAAACAGAGGGGGCATGCGAAATTAATTGCAATTTTATTATTCACTACAAGATTGAATACCAAAATATAATTCAAAGCTGCACTAATCAATATTTTCATATTAACAGTGGGTCAGATGAGTATGTGCAATGACAGTCACATACAGTGACCAGGCTTAGGGAGTAATGGAATATACAGCGGGTAAAATAAGTATTGAACATGTCACCATTTTTCTCAGTAAATATATTTCTAAAGGTGCTGCTGACATGAATTTTTTTTACCAGATATTGGTAACAACCCAAGTAATCCACACATACAAAGAAAGCAAAACAAATAAGATCAGAAATTAAGTTATTGGTAATAAAATGGAATGACACACATGAACACTTGAAAAAAGGCAAGGAAAGCCAAGACACCAGCTGGAATCTACCAGTAATTAGAAAGCAATCCTGCCCCTTGTCAGTGGAAATTAATATCAGCTGGTTAAGTCCCAACTGATGGCCTATAAAAATGTTTCATGATGAGTAAAAGCAAATAGCTTTCTCAAGACCTTCACAAGCTTATTGTTTCAAAACATACTGATGGCATTGGTTACACAAGGATTTCTAAACTTCTGAATTTTCCAGTGAGCACTGTTGGGGGCATAATCCGGAAGTGGAAAGAACATCATTTCACAATAAACTGGCCACGACCAGGTGCTCCTCGCAAGAGATCTGACAGAGGAGTGGAACGAATTATCAAAAGAGTTGTCCAAGAACCAAGGACAACTTGTGGAGAGCTTCAGAAAGACCTGGAATTAGCAGGTATAATTGTTTCAAAGAAGACAATAAGTAATGCACTCAACCGCCTGTATGCATTCTCACAACACAAGACTCCATTGCTGAAGAAAAAGCATTTAGAAGCTTGTTTAAAGTCTGCTGCACAACCTTTAGACAAGCCTGTGAAATACTGAGAGAATATAGTCTGGTCAGATGAGACCAAAATTGAACTTCTTGGATGCCATACACACCATGTTTGGAGGTCAAATGGCACTGCACTTTACCCCAAACACACCATACCAACAGTGAAGTTTGGGGGTGGGAACATCATGTTGTGGGGCTGTTTTTCAGCATACGGCACTGGCAAACATCATATAATTGAAGGAAGGATGAATGGACAAATGTACTGAGACATTCTTGATAAAAATCTGCTGACATCTACCAGGATGATGAAGATGAAACAAGGGTGGACACTTCACCAAGACAATGATCCCAAACACACAGCCAAGGAAACTCTCAACTAGTTTCAGAGAAAGAAAATGAAGCTGCTAGATTGGTCCAGCCAATCACCTGACTTGAATCCAATAGAAAATCTATGGAAAGAACTAAAGATCAGAGTTCATAGAAGAGGCCCACAGAACCTTAAAGGTTTGAAGACTGTGTGGAAGAATGGGCCAAAATCACACCTGAGCAATGCATGCAATTAGTTTTTCCATACAGGAGGCTTCTTGAAGCTGTCATTACCAACAAAGGTTTTTGTACAAAGTATTAAATAAATTTCAGTAAATGTGTCCAATACTTTTTTGCCTGCCACTTCATTTTATTACACAACTTAATTTCTGATCCGACTCTCAGCTATGGTCATAAACTTTGGGTCATGACCGAAAGGGCAAGATCCCGGATACAGGCGGCCGAAATGAGCTTTCTCCGCAGGGCGGCCAGGCGCACCCTTAGAGATAGGGTGAGGAGCTCGGTCACCCGAGAGGAGCTCAGAGTAGAACCGCTGCTCCTCCACATCGAGAGGAGCCAGCTGAGGTGGCTCGGGCATCTGTTTCGGATGCCTCCTGGGCGCCTCCCTAGGGAGGGAACGCCTCAGCATTCCCCCGGAGGAGCTGGAGGAAGTGTCTGGAGAGAGGGAAGTCTGGGCATCTTTGCTTAGACTGCTGCCCCCGCGACCCAGTCCCGGATAAGCGGAAGAAAATGGATGGATGGATGGAATTTCTGATCTTATTTGTTTTTTCTTTGTATGTATGGATTACTTGGGTTGTTATAAAAATCTGGTGAGAATTTCATGCCAACAGCACCTTTAGAAATATATTTACTGAGAAAAATGGTGACGTGTTCAATAGTATCTGCTGTAGGGAACAGCATTACATATTTAGAAAAAAAAAAGATAAACAAATTCCATTTAAATTAAAAGAGGAAAAAAGACAATCAGATTACAAACATTTAGTAAAATGGGGATTTTTAGCAGGATTGCAATTTTAACACCATACAATATAAATAGGACTACCATGCACATGCGCACACATTACAACACCACTCTGGTCTTGAGTGAAACGGCACCTCACACCTCCTTACACCTCATGTCAAAATCTGTTTGCTTATTGAGATGTTTCCGCTAACCTGAATGTGACCTTTTCCTAACCACAGAGGGAAGCATTTTAGCCTTGTAAAAGCAACAGATTTTTTTTTTTGCTTTGTGGTCATGTGGTCAATTTTGTTGTAGGTCTCTACTGTAGGCTACTGCCTGAATTTGCTTAATGAAAACCAAAAACATTTTTGACAGTAAAAATCTTGGTTTCCCAAATTTCCTAAGGCTACATAGTTATGTTGTTTTACAGAATACACTTAAGTAAAGACCATCTTATTGATATTTCACTAGCAGGGACCTGTCCTCACTAAGTATGAATGGAAGTATAAGGACGAATGAATGAACCATAAGGATATTGAATACTTATGTACAGCATACTTGGCTGCTTGTGCACTTAAAGAGGTCCCCACCACTCTCAGGCACAAGGAAACCCAAGGTGTCGCTGTAATTCAGATTTAACATTAATATTAAGAAGAGTAGTGGATGTATTATACAAATATCCAAAAATTTAATTATAGATTAGTAATTTTGTCACACATGTTTACATAGTGATTTTTATTTACTTGGTTTTATTCTAATTTGACTTATTTTCCACCCATGTGTATCTTTGTATCATTTCTATCTTCCCTTCATTACTTTTGTTTTATATAAAGTACTCTGAATTGCTTTGTTGTTGAAAACTGCAAAATAAAGCAAGAAAAAAACCTTGCCTTGACTTCACATTACACCCAACATCAACCAACTCTTAATCTCAAAAATAATCACCAAGACTGCATAAGCCTATACAGAAAAGTGTTTCTGTTATTTAACCTGGCCTCACTGATATAAATAAGATGGACAAAACAGAAGTGCAATACAGTTCGACAGCAGCAAAGCCTACACCCTCCAAAGGATCATACAGTTATCAGCACCTTTCTACACAAAAATTGAACATTATAATTAGATGTACCTAATTGAGACTACATACAGGGATGAGGTGGAGAGGCTGATAGTGTGGTGCAGAGAGAACAATCTGCTCCTTAATACCTCAAAGACTAAGGTCATTGTCAACTTCAGGAGGAAGAAAACCAACATCTTGCCACTGTATATCAGCGGGGACCGTGTGGAGAGGGTGCCAGCCTTCCACTTTCTGGGAGTTCATATTGAGGAGGATCTGACCTAGGGCGTGAATACCTCTAAACTGCTTAAAAAGGCCCAGCAGAGACTGTACTTCCTACGGGTGCTCAGGAAGAACAACATGTCCCAGAGACTGCTGCTGTCCTTCTATCGGTGCTCCACTGAGAGCATCCTTACATACTGTATACTGTATGTGTATGGTACAGCAGCAGCACAGTGGCTCACAGGAAAGCACTGCAGAGGGTCATTAATACGGCCCAGGAGATCGTCGGCTGCCCTCTCCTCACTCTGAAAGAACTACACAGTTCCTGCTGCCTCAAAAAAGCCCAGAACATCATTAAGGACATTTCACACCCAAGATGTTCAGTCTTTGGACTGCTGCCATCAGGTAGATGGTTCAGAGCAATCAAATCAACGACTGCTAGATTCAAGAATAGTTTTTACCCAACAGCAGTTACCACACTCAGTGCTGCTAAAATATAATATGCCTGTGTGTATGGGGTCTGTTTGTTAATTTTGTTTTTAGCGGTAATGTTTTTATTATATATATTCTGTTTTTATTGTTGTACTGACTGGATGTCACTTTAAATTTTCTTTGTATGTGTTACAATGACAATAAAGATTATCTAAATAGTGTGAAAAAGGAAGAAGTGTAGTTTGGTCAGGTCCCACTCCCAAACTTCAGATAATTACATTATCTCCATGTCTTTTCTCATGTCTTTATTTGGTTTTGAACAAAACCAAAAGTAACAAAAAGTAATTAAGTTAAATTACTTTAATAATGTGATACTTGGATTAGGTTTTTGAATATAATGAATGCAATTTTAAAGGAACCCTCCTAACTCTGGTAGTGACATACCCACGGAGAATTACCAATGGACTTTGCATTCTCCTCAGCTATAGGGAGCATTTGAACATTTTTCAGGTAACAGTTTTGATTTTAGGACCTCTAACTTTACTGTTTTGGTTCCGTCTCACCGTTCTCAAAGATTTTCAAGTAGCATTTAGCAAAATGATAAATGATAAAATTTTACACTCCCTGCCCAGCACCATATGCCAGACAGACAGTTAGCACAGTTAGCATCAAGAGTCAAGTGAAGAGCTAAAAAAGAGAGTGAATATTCTCATTTATCAAGAGGTCAAGACTTCAAATGATGACTAATGGTCCATGTCTGCTAGATGTGTCATTAGGCAGGTGTTTCCTATAATGAATTAGGCAGTGATAATATGTCAATCTACATATAGTTGTTAGTTCCAAGTGCCTGAAAAACATCTACTCACACTGCAATATATTGAGTAGCATAATAACACACAGGCCCCATTTACACCTGGTATAAACATGTGATCTGTAGCTAGATAATGACATTTGATCCATGAATCTTTGTATTTGTATCTGGTATCAATAAACACTCTTATCAGCTTGATCTTGGTCCTTCCCACATTGTTTTTGGCTCTCTACACATAAATATAGACAAACAGGTATGTCTGTTAGAGAAGCAACAGCACAAATAAGCATTGTTCATTATACATGTCTTTTTGCATGAGAACATTTGCTGCTTTTGCTCGTTTTTGTCTAGTAGGAATAGGCTGTTTGGTGACATTTCCACTCTATAAGTGGACTTAAGAATGTGTATGCACTGTATCATGTTATACCTTCATGAAATCCAATCACAATGCAATCCAACCCACACTCTTACACTGCAGTTTTTCACATGCATTAAGAAGCATTTTTGCTTATCCACATATCCAGTTACAGATTACATATTAATGCCAGGTGTAAAGAAAACACTCGTCACAATAAGTCTGTCAGGTTTGCCCGGCTGCACCTTTCTCTCTTCCTTTTCCTCACTCTAGTTTTGCTTCTTTACCCTAATTACACTATCTGACACACCTGTCCTACTTCCCTAGATCATCACCAGCTGCACCTGATTAGTTTCCTCCCTACTTATACCTTGCTCACTGGTCACTCCTGTAGGACTATGGCTCTTGTTACCATTGCTAACTCTGAGAGACGAGATAGTCCAAGTAACTTCAAAACAGTGCTGATTTATTCAAAGGATCACAGGTAAAATTAACATTACACGCTCAGGTATCTTGCACCTCCAAACTGCTCGCAGGCAGATGTAAGATGAAAGACCCTGAACCCACCAGGCCTATACATTATATCCC